TATACTACTATTGTAAATACTACTTGTAAATTATATATTAGTAACTATATTCTCATTATTATCATGTTTATTCTTTTTGTTTTACAGTGTTTATTTATACATCTACTGTTATTGTTATTGACATTATTGATAACCCTGACCAATGAATGAATTCATCATGAAGTATAGATTTGTCTGTCAATCAGGATACGATTTAATTTTTAATTTCCTAATTAGTCAATTATTCTTATTTAATTGTTTATAGTTTATGGTTTATTATTATTACTATACTAATAATAATATTAGTAGTAGTAATGATAATAATAATAATAATAATAATAATAATAATAATAATAATGGTAATACGTAGTATTAATATGATTATCAACAGTTGTTACTAAAGCGATTATAGATAAATTATTTTGTCATTATCAGTATGGGGGATGTGGAGATTGTTAAGTTTTTGGTTGAGATCATTGTCATTGTCATTGCTAGGGATTTGAATAAATATTGATAAAGTAGTTTATTAAAATGATTATTTATATTTCACAGGTTCAAATCATGAGTCAATTGAACCTAGACCACCATGGAAAACCTGCAAGCACTGGATGGCCGTTTCGTTCTAGTATAGGACTCCTTAGCCCGCGAAACCAGTAGGTACTGGGGTTCGTATCCCGCGGGGTGCGGGATCGTGGATGCGCACTGCTGAGGATTCCCATACTAGGATGAAACGGCCGTCGAGTGCTTCCAGGTTTTCCATGGTAGTCTAGCTTTATTTGACGCATGATTTCAACCTGTGAAATTTCTAAAAAAAATTCGCAAAACCCATTCTGATTATTTATATGTTAAAATAGATAATCAATAATTACTACTGAAAAATATACAAGTAGTTTAGCAAAAATAATGAGATGAATAATAAGTGATTTGTCAGATTTGTTAGTTATTGTATGTTGTTTTACATCAACAATTAATAGCAGATGAAGAAATGTTTGGAAATTTGAAGTCAGCGTAGAACTACTTCATAATGATTTGATATTCTCAACGGTTTCCATATAGGGATTGAAACCATAATCTATGTATAGATAATAATAATAATAATAATAATAAAATCAACTAATGTTTCATTTCTTTTTTGGGATTGTTGAACAATACCTGTTCGTGGTTAAAACTTTAATGATTTGTTTTCAGATCGATAATCTGAAAATAAACACTCTCTTTGTTCAGTCTGAATATTATGGATTTGAGAAAGTGAACAGAATTTTGTCAACATGAAAAAAGAAATCTACATTGGATTCAAAAATTAAGAACATTTGTAAAGTGAAATAACGTGTTGAATACAAAGTCCTAGAGTAAATTTCAACTCTGCAATGCAGGTACATTCAGCTGACAAGTCCCAAGTAGGAAGAACCGCTAGTCCGGGATTCCACTTCTAGCTACCATCTATCTTTACATATGAGTCAAGCCAATATTGGACAAATCCACACAGGATGTATAAATGGTTGCAGTCCTAAACATCAGTGGGAAGATTCAAACAAACGATATAAAAAACAAAGCAGCAGGTTAATTTTTATCGAAATTTATCATTACGAATAGAGGAGACTACTTACTGCTTAGTGATCAGTAAATTGTATGGATTTAAAGTTTATTTTATATTGTCACATGCTCACTAGTGGATAGCTTCAGGTTGCGATTCCTGGAGTTCTAATGTGCAGCTGTGAACAATACAGTTCAGCCACGTTGGGTTTAAGATGTTTATCCACGGAAAACAATAAAAGAATAGTATGTAGTATCATAAAATTGATTAAACTTAGACGCATAGACTTTCGGATGCCGGCTCGGCGGTCTAGAGATTAAATGTTCGTACACAAGATCGACGTTTCAGTGTTCCATCTTATGTGGAATACTTTTGAGTCTCCAATTGTAGTCTAGCTAAGAACAGTTTGTATATTCCTTCAAAAAAATAAAATAAAATTGCTAAAGCAGTCACTTGGTACAAAACATTGAAACACGTTGATTTAAAATAAAATAGTTTAATGTCAACTTTACCTATCTGAAATATGGAAAATTATGTCCAATTTAAATATCTGTAACTGTAACCTAAAACGAATACAAATAGTTGTTAATTAAGTTAAAATTGAGAAATTTCAAGTTTTATGAAAAAGCCTTTCCAAATGAGTGATGTGAATATGGTTTGTAATACTTGTGAATAGTTTTTTATACAGTAATTATCTTTTAAGTTGAATGATTCATTGAAATTCTGAAAAATTTCATCAGTACATATGATTAATGCTGAATTGAACTTTGTCCAGTAAGACAATTATAGATTCATCGTTAAGCAATGTAGTGTAAAGGACGTGACATTATGAAATAATTGATAATGTTTAATAATAGTAATAATAATAATAATAATAAGGTTGAAGAAGCTACTGAAATCAGCAGAGGTATGAACCATTAAAGGAAGAGAACATAATGTTTTATACACACATCAACAAACAAATAAACACAAATAGTCACTCATATATCTCAAGGTTAAATTCTAGAAAATACAAAAATGGAATTACAGTGAAAAATTCACTATTCAATTATATCTCCCTATTAGTTATTATTATTATTATTATTATTAAAAGTATTAGTAGCTTGAAACACAGACATTTCACTGAAACGAATAACATTAAACTAGGATACATCATGATGGTCATGAGAAAATTGAACATATTTTTTTTAAGAGAAAAAAGGAAAACAAAGTAAGAGTCATGACATACCCTTTAATAAACATATAGAACAAAGCATATCTCATTGAAGCTATGTTGACATATCTTCACAATTTATATATATATATATATATATATATATGTCCGTTTGATGTCATTGTTGTTGAATTGTGGCTTTTCGACATCATATCAGACCTGTGATGTTCTTGCTTATTTGTTATTCTTGCTTCTTTTTTCTCCAATTTGATCTGTGATGTGTGTATGTATGTATGTATGTATGTATGCCTGTTTGTTTGTCTATGAATATTACTTAAAAGAGTATATAAATACTCCCTTTGTTCTTTATTTTTTATCGTTATCATTTTTATTATTGTTGTGTGTATTTTCTCTCATTTTTTTGGGGTGAAATTCTTTGTGTTTTCAACTTGTGCTCCTGTCTTTCCACTATTGAGTACTTTGTTATATTTCATCATACTCATCTTTTCTTGTTCAACTTATCTCTCAAAACAAACAAGAAACAGATATATATATATCTATATAGAAACACACAAGTACCAAATACATTCTGGGAAATGAACCGTGATATAGATGAACAGAAAGATAGACAGACAGACAGATATATGCATTATCATACATAGGACAAATATGATTTACAGACATACTTATATTAGACATATAGATTTACTTATTCAATTTCCTAAAAATAAATATCAGAATTAAAAATGAAATGGTTTTTATATGTATTGAAATTTATTTATCATTTACATTATTACAAAAAAAGATAAATAATCATAACAATATGGAATACCATTTCTTTCATATGAATAATTGGTATTATGATAGAATTTTTATTTAACCAGATGGAAACTATTATCATTATCCATTGCTTATCTCATTCATAATAAACAGAATCCTTGTTAAATTCATTGATCATCTATGAAATTGGATTATTAAAAGAAAAAAAAAGAAGAAAAGACTGAAATAGTTCAGTACAAAAAAAAATTTGATCAGTCAACTCTAATTCTTTCAATATTAGTGAGTGAAATATAAAAAGAAGTAAAGCAAAAAAGAAAGAAAGAAAGAAAAAGAAGATAATTCCACTTGACTATTTTCTTATTATCATAGAAACTGTTCATTTTGTTATCCCTTTTTTTATGTGATAAAGAAATTGTAACAGATATAACTATTAACACAAGAAAGGAATTGTGTTTAGACAATACTGGAACGTTTACTAATACTACTGTTATTATCATTATTTTATCGAATCATTTTATGTACTGTGATCTCCTATTTATAAATATCTATTATCATATCCTATGTATCCAATGGTTATTAATCTAGTTTATTCAAATTTATTGATTTTATTGATTGATTGGAATTATAAACGACAAATCAATTTAAATGAATGCAATATTACATAATCATCATCATTACTTTGATATTATACATAGCAACATAATCTATTATCATTAACATTAATTTCTATATTTTTAATAGTATTATATGATAAGGCGAATTCTTGTTGTTATTGTTGTTGTTGACAATTATGATCTCTTAATTGATTTTAATGGATAATTATTGTTTATAAGTAGTATATGATGCATTTATTCATTTCCGATCCATACAAATTCAATTTTTCAAATGTGTATTCATAAGAAATTTCCATATAAATAGTTCCTTTTCCCACAAATTAAAGAACATTCATTTGTATGATAAAAAGGTTTTCATGATAAATAGATCCATGTTATCTTGGTATAAACCATTTAATCATCAAGTATTACTTATATTTCAAAAGATTACATAGAAGAAACAAACAAACAACAAACAAACAAACAAACAAAACATTATTACATAATAAATAATAGCAGAAATCCGGCTTCCTCTAATACAAATAATAATAATAATAATAAAGTGATTTTACATCATAATATTTGTATTAAATTAAATGATCATCCTATTCAAACAGACAATATTTGTGATATTATCATTATTCATTGTTAATATCTATGCAGATTGTTACAATTAGATCAATATAGGTTTACTGAATTGATCGGATTTCCCACTACATTCTAAATAATAATCATAAGAAGAAGAAGAACAAGAAGGAGACTAACAAAAAAGAAAACAGACAATAAAAAAAGGGACCCAACACTTTACTAAACATACGGATTATTTATCCCAAGTGTTTACTGACTTATTATATTATATGATTTATACAGTTAGTTTTCTTTGGATTATATCATATTAAAGAGAATAATACAATAGAAATATAATATTAATATACAAGAATTATATAAATAATAATTATCAATGGCACGTGGAGCTGGTGGTTTATTAGATGGTGGATTTGTATTTAAATTAGGCAGATTATTTAAAACTCCATATGGTGGAGAAGGTGTTGATTTTATTGATCAATTAAATTATCAATTTACTGGTGGACTAATGGTTATATTTATAGCAATTATCAGTTTTCGACAATATGTTGGTAAGTGATTGTATTCCCCCTTTTTTCTGTATTTCTTTGATAAATATATTACAATTATGATGATATTGATGGATACATATTTTCATTTTTATATTCATTCCAAAAATCAATTTCTTTTTCGGTAATATGAATGTTTCTTTTTTTCAGCGGGGGGGGGGAGAGAATGAAACAGTCTATAGTTTTTAAATACAAATGTAATATGATATGAAAATAGAATACAAAAAATTTTTTTGTAAATTTAATTAATCGTTTAAAGACCCCCATCATATTAAAAAAACAATATTTGAACGAAGAATATTCTTTTCGATAAATTCTCCGGTTTCTTTATTCGGATGACAACTGCTTCAGCTGTTTGAAGGACTTTAAGTCTGACAAGCTTTGACCTTATAAATAATTGAAAAAGATTGGTTTATTCTGACAGTATGACCAGTTTGTATTAAATGGGTCAATATTGAGCTGTTCACTTTCTTCATCAAACCTTTGTTTAACCACGTTGGGAAGTGTTCACGAACACGAAAATGTAAATTCCTAGATCTTCAACCAATATAACTCGCTCCACAGGAGCAGGCAAACTGATAAATATATTTGACTGAATTGTAATTGCACTATTACTTCTCTCACCCTATTTGACTCAAATTTATTCTGATTATGGATCTTGAACTTCACTTAACATATATCCAGATTCAAGTTAACATTCTATCTGAGTCATATTAACATTAACAATTTTATTGTAGTTTGTTTATCACAATCCTAAATTCATATACTTTAAATGATGTATTTTGCCCTAAACCTGGGCATTCTTCGGATTATTAATTTAGATATAGAATTGTAGAACCTGAAGAGAATTTATTGAAAAGAATATTCTTCGTACAAATTTCGTTACTATTGACATATGCTAATTCATTCACTTTCCTATTTTCTTTTTATTCTTGATAACGTTTAAAGGAACTTGTTTCCTTTTTTACACTTTTAATGAAACTTACATTCAGTAAAATATTGAGATAATTTTATTTGGTATTTATTTTTTATCTCAAATAAGCATCAAGCTTCAATTTTCATAAAATGATCAGTATTTGCTAACATTTAATCCCTATTTAAACATTAAAAATTAAAAACACGATGTTCAGCAAAGGGATCTCTTTTCAACGAATTTATTATCAAGCTGTACACAATCGTACATATATGAATACGAGAATATATCCTAGTTTGATTCTACATGAATGAAAGGAAAACAGTTATGGAGTTCTATACTTGAACACTGTAATCATTCTACGGATCCACATTTTGATTTTACGGTTGTTTATATGACTCGTTTAAATCTATCTAGATTTCTTCGAATCCAACTCTTAAAAATAGCCGATCATGAGCTCAAACCAAAATTATGCGTACAAAAAAAGTACGTCTTATCGTTATCGTTACTTTAGCCTTAATTAATATTACTATTATTACTGCATTCCCCTTGTATTCTCATTATTTTATCCATAAATACTCATCATATCTCCTTGTTTATTTCTACACCCTTATGACCTTTAATTATTGTAACAAAAACATCTTAATCATCTTATTATATCCACTAAATCGAATGTTATTTTTCGTATTACGTACTCTAATATAATAATCATTCTATTACATTATCTTGGTTATTCCTGTTCACATTTCTTCATGAAATTAGTACTTTAACAAATAAAAATATTGTCATATATATACGGTTGTACAGCTTGATAATAAATTCATTGAAAAGAGATCTCTTCGCTGAACTTCGTGTTTTTAAACTTACTATTTATGATTTTGACTGAAAGTACTGTCTTAGTGATTAATAAATAGTAGCAATAGTACTGATAATAATAATAGTAATAATAATAATAATTATTATTATTCTATATTGACTTTGGTCAGTAATAAAAGAAAGTTGGTTAGGTATACTTTAATTCACTTTAAATGTTTTCTTTTCTTTTCTTTTTACAAAAGAATAAACATATTTTATACATTTAATTGACATTTACTTACAATAAACCTATATAATTCATAATAAATAACTCTAATCGATTACTATCAATCACTTGGAAACAGGATGTAATCTTCCTTTTAAGTAAAATATAAACAGAGACTAAGTGAACGAGTAAATGAATGAATAAGTGAGTGAATAAATGAATGAATGAATGAATGAATAAACGAATGAATAAACTGAATAAATTAGTATACACGCAAAACACTGGGGAAAAAATGATTGGGAATATAGATGAGTTTTATCAGTATTATTATTATTATTATTATTACTATATTCATTTTTTCTATCGAAAAATAAACAAATTTTCTTTTCTTCATGAAGGATATTTCTGGAACAAAAAAAACTAAAAAAATGTTTCTAAAATACTTTAAATTAAATGGATTGAAAAAAAAGAATGAGAATTCGTTTTTTGCGAGGGGGAGGGAGGAGGGAAATAAATTAAAACCCTGAGGAATGAACATCATCCATTCATTGGTATATAAATATATAGTATGATTAATACCTTGGTTTATGTATTTATTCAATATTTTACAATACATGACATATAGATATATATCATATATTGTATTAGTGATTATAATAATAAAATTCTAGTATAAAGTATTAAATAAATTAATGGACATATACCGACAAAAGAACTGAACATATATCCTGAATTATTATTATTATTATTATTACTAATACTAATACTAATACTATATACTTTGTTAAAAGATTTTCATGAATGGTTACAAAATTGATCTAAATTTTGGATTTATTATGAAAAGATAATATTTTATCCTCCCCCCTCTCTCTAGATACATATATACATATATTGATTTTTTGTTTATCGAATTAAAGATAGTGTGATAATTTAAAGTGAGTTGTTATGTAGATAATTGAACAAGTGTTTATTCATTTATTTTTTTGTTTATTGTTTCAATTACATTCGAGCTGTCCATTTACCATTTTTACTTAAAATAGTAACAAGGACAATAAAAATTATTGACTGAAGTTGTATTTTTTCGGGGGGGGGAGTTCAAACAGTTTACTTAAAATCATAGTTTCATTGGTATGATTAGATGAATTGTTGAGTTCAATAACTTTTGATAACAAAAATTAATTCTAAAATTGATTAGTTATGGCTTAAATACTTCAATGGTAACATTTAAGTTATGAAGCTGAATGACATTGATTGATATCTTACACAAGCATCAGTTCAATTAAAATTATGCGGTTGCATTGATGTAATTAGTTTAAATGAGCATGGTACCTAGTCTTAGGGATTGATGTTAGTCATTTTCAATCATCTAATTTATATAATATAAATCTACAAATATCTCTTTACACATTTATCTATTTTGTAAAAGTTGAATAATTACTACGAATATGAGTATAGAAGCATAAGACAGTCATTGAGATTGTGGATTGTTTGATCAGTTTCATCTCCCAATTAACTGATAGTTAAAACAATCCGAAATTCATCATCTCTTATAGAAATTAACTGTTTTGAATAGTTTAAATGACTTATTTAAACTACTTTTTACACGTGGAACTTCTGGTATAGCATTCTATACATAGATTTACATACAGTTGTTGTCATAGTGACCAATGTTTATATATATACGTTTATATAACTTGAGGGAGAGACAAAATGTTTAATAAAGTTTTACTTTCATTGTATCAATAAGTTGGTTAACCAAAGAGAATCATGTTCAACTTATGGTTGACTTGTTTAAAAGTAAAGGATGAATGATTAACCTACTACAATAAAACTTATTACTTTTTCAATATATATATATATATATATATATATATATATATATATATATATATATATATATATATATCCCTATTTAAACTGATCAATCAGATATTTTAAAATGAAGCACTGAAATTGATGAAATGTTTCCATGTCATCTAAATAGATATTTTATTGAACTAAAATTTGGACAAAAACAAACTGTGTTGTTTTATAGATTAGAAAATCAGTAATAAAAATTTCCACTCTAACTAGGTATATTGTAATCCTTCAACTTTATGTTTATTTGTTTGCCAATTACTCGTTATATAGTAAAAAACATAAGTTACTGATTGGTTTATACGTTGAAGAATTTTATTCATTGGTGAAATCGATCAATTTCCAATTAGTGGATAACGGTTTCGAGTTCTGTTCTTCTTGTTTTTGGTTTCCAATAGCGTAAAGTTATATATTAGCACCAGCTGTAACATAGAAGACATTAAGGTATAAAACTGGGTGCATCATTATGTACTTTATGAATTAGTTACGATGAGTTACATTATTCCCTATTTTATATAGGAATAAATATTTTCAATTCGTTATTTGATAATCTAATAAGTTAGTGATTTATCTTTTCAGTACTTAGCACAATCAGTCAAACAAATGGATAAATTACCAAGAAACTTCAATTTATACATAGAAAACTATAGTGTGGCTATATATTATACTGCAGTAAATGAGGTCTTAGTGGGGATAGCCAACTAAATGCTTAATGCAAAATTACACAATGAGTTTGTAAAATATGAAAATTCTACATTAAATACATATCTTCCTTCAGTTGTCCTTTACCTACTCCACTGTTTTTCTAATTCTGTTGTTATTTGATTGTTCTCCAAGTTCCTTTCTGTTCTTTTCAATTCAATCTTCAGTTGACAGGCATTCCATTACTGATTGCTGCTAAATACTAATTATATCTGTCAGCGTAAGCAGCACACACTACAATACCACTGAATCGATCCAACTCCAAGTAGTAACTTTTAGTGCTCTGCACCAATATCCGATAAGTACTGCCAGCTGATGTTGATCCTATCGCGAGCTTTTTAGTAGGAACTTTCATTTAGAGTTTAAATCATCAAAGATCATACCATTTTATAGTGTTAATGGTACTGTAAGGAAGCTAAATCGCGTGAAACATTTGTTTCTTTTAATATAAATCATGTCATTATTTTTATATTGAATAATAAACACGGTTATGTTAAACGAATTATTTAT